AACGCAAAAACTTTGTTCAAATAGAATCGAGAGCGGCCAAAATGGATATTTTAGTTGAAATACGATACTCGAAATTTTTCGCGATTACAACACTTCCTTTCTTCATACAAGGAAATAAAAAAGAAAAAAAAGAAAAAAAAAAAAAAAGAGAGAGAGAGAGAGAAGAAAATTGGAATGATGACTTTCAAAAGACTTGATTCTGATGATTCTACTCACGACGCAGGAATACACTATCAGTAACTGTAAAATTCAGATTTCTCAGAAATGACTTTTCCGAAAATCTCACCTAACTAAAACATTTAAAACTTTTACTGTGTAATTTTAGCACTCGCATTTTTTAAAACTACACGCTGGAAACAGAGACGTTTGGGGTTATTTATGTATTTCATTAACTAGTCTGGAAAACTATAATTTCTAATAACATAATCTCCCTTATATAATCATATCATAACCTATGAGAGGTAACTGTAGTGAAGACATTTCTTTCTCTACCTCAAATTAGATCTAAGGGGATAGGAGTGTGATTAAGTACTATGAATCTGAATCCATTTTCCGTTTCTTTTTTCTTACCTTCTCTAGTTTCGTTTGTTCCGTCTTTAGCTTTCTGTATCAGTGTCTTTGTCATCAGGTTTTCTATCTGCTTTTCATCCTTCTCCTCTTCTTCAGTGGTCTCTGTAGTTTATTCGTTTCGCACGGTTCCTCTTGCTTGTCTGTTACAATTTACGTTTCTGAAGTTTTCTACTAGCATTTAATACATCATAAAGCACGACTGCTATCCTTATCTTCCATCATAAATTTCACTACAATACAGACAGTCATGCTGAGTAGTCGCAGTCCTGCTATTCACATATATGTCATATTTTTTATGCATAGAAAAAGACACTGGAATTCTTAACAGCTTTCGGTAGCCATCATGGCTTATGGTTAAAGGATACAGATGAAGATAACGAATTGTATTTCGATAAATCACCAACTTTATTTTCACACATATCCAGTTAGTTTGGCAGACCTTTATTGAATCATAATTAAATAGGATAAATTGCTATGTACATTGTTTTTTTTAAAAAATAAGACGCAGGCACTTGGGACGGGAAAGACGGGGAAGCAGAGCAACTTGGATGTTGGCGGGACGGAAGCTAGGAGAAGAATGACATAGTTTTTTGTGTCAAAAGTATTTATACTAAGTCTGATGTAATTGTAGAGAGAAGCTATGATTGGTGAATCTTAGGTTGTTACATAACATAGAAGGATCTCAAATTTGGAAGAACGGATGACTTTAGAGGGAGAGCACCGAATCTAGAATCGTTATTTTTGAAGTCACCAACTGTTCTTAAAGCAGCTATTGTATTTTCTTATATCTTACACACACACACACACACACACACACACATATATATATACATGTCTGGTACTGCCGATTGCAATAATGGAGGTACACAACTAGATACTATGGCAGTTTCATGCACAGAATTTCAACATTCTATGACTAGTCGTTTTTAAGTTAGGCGAGATACATACATACACACATAGGTGTGTACGTACAGAAGTCACAAAAAAAAATCCCTTTTGAATGTATTTTAAATCTGTTGTACAATCCGTTTTGGAAAACGAGTCCTTTATTCTGCACGTATACACAGACTTCACGCAAAAAATTATCCAAATAATTCGGGAACTGTCAAAATCGATATTTACGTTGAAATATGATGTCCGAAAGTTTTCGAAATTACCATATTTCCTTTACTTCAATACCTATTTACTATTCAAAATATTAATAATGCAATACTCCTAGAAACGACATGATTAAGCGAATTTGAGACGCTATACACAGACTTCGTGGGACCCAATAATAGTAAACCTTCGTAATAACATTGCTCGATATATTGGGTTTTCAATTATTATTCGAGTGTTATCTTAAGACATTTCTAAATAATTTTGCTAGCAATCAGAATAACACTCTTGTATTGCTCATACGTCATTTTTCCCTTGAATAATCAGGACTTAAAATAGCTCTCCTAGTAGTTTAGAATTTTTAGAAGTAAGTTCTGTTTGAAATCTTTCACTATCCATGACAAAATATTTAATTTTGTTGAACATGATGAGAACAGTTTTGATGTTAATGTTGTAGAACAACTTGTTTTCGTTTATAGAGATCCCTTACCTGTCTTCCTTGAAATACATATATATTTTTAAATAAACCCAATGTTAGTTTAAGGTTGATTTTTACTTAGCTTGAAATTTGAAATTAATGCAAATAAACTACAGCTGAAATTTTTGGACATGTTTTTAAAAAATAAATTTGCAAGTTACTACATTCACTTTAAGTAAATGAACATGAAAATATAAAAGTCTTGGTAAGATATAAATTCGCATAATTTATAAATATGCATGAATGTCTGTATAATACTTAATGTGTATTCATTTTTATGCTTTTTTAATTACATAAAAATCTGAAAATACATGAGATTGATTTTTGAACTTCCCTTTTTCCTGTTTCAGCGAAAACGGTTTTAGAAATATATATATGTGTGTATTTTTCCTGATATTACGCAAATATTACATTTTTCACTGGGGAAACCATTTATTTTCATGATGCGAGCTTAATTCCAACCGCGCTATCAATATTGTAACAAGGAAACATTAGAGGTGTGGTGAGAAAAATTTGCATGTTTGTATTATTCTCAGCTTGGAATTATGATATTCTTGTTAATTATACGTACCTCATTCCCAATATTCACAAAATATATTTTCCCATAACTAGCTCTTCAGGCTAATTACAAGCGCATCGTGAATGCGCATCTATAACGCTGACGCAAAAGATCCATTTTAAGGGGTGGTCTGTATATAACTGCTACACGCAAATTTCTACTCATCACGGAATAATTTTCCCATCGTGCTCGTCCTCCGAACGGAGGGTGCTACTATCCCCTGCAGTTCTGGGTGTCACGTGATGCGCATTTTGCGTTTTGTCGCCACGTGACCTGCACATGGCTTATTAACAATGTGTCTGTATTCCTGTGTGCTGGGGTGCGTGTGACCCATGAATTTTTACGCACAACTTATGTCACAAGCAAAAAAGTGTGAGAAACAAAAACTCCTCTGATGGACATCGAGAAGAAAGGGAAAAGGATCACCTAATAAAAATTTTCCTCTTTTCGAGCAAGGAATATTTTAATGCCCGAACCTAATTGGCTGTTTGGTAGTTGTAGTGCAATAGTCATAGACTACTTTCGACTTACACATTGTTGTTCATACATACCTCGAAGAAAATCTGGTTCAAAAGCCCAACTTTATTTTCACACATATCCAGTTAGTTTGGCAGACCTCCCATGAAACTATATCCTGATGCACTTCTCGGAAAGTCTTGTATAACATTCCCCCCCTTAAGAAGTCTGGTAGATTTCAAGACGCAAATAGTTTCTTTTACTTATTACAGTAATGACTAAGCTTCAGTTTTCAGTATTCCGTAATCATGCGGTTACGTATTATTCTTGATTAGCTTCGTTAAGGTTATCAGCAAAAACTGTTTTCCACGACACGCTGAGAGTTAATGGTTCGTTTTTCCCAACCTTCTCTTTATCAGGAAATTTCAGAGTAAGCATTTTCATGATTGTCTTATTCTATCTCATTATTTATTGCTTGAACAGGGGTTTCGTTGCACTTCTAGGCGCTGCTTCAGCTCTTCGAAGAAAATTACCAAACCAATAATTTTCTTAGAATTTTAAATGCCGAGTTAAAAAGCTTTAGTAAGTATTGCAGTATTTTTTGAACCATTACTTGCCCTAAAAATTTCTAATTTATTTTTTGTTGCCTCTTCTAATTCAATCAATTTATATATATTTTAAATTTCTTTATTTCATTAACAAATGACTCTTTTCGACTTAAGATTAACAGCAAATCAACATCATGCTTAGAATATATGTAAATTGTATGCTAATTATAAGAGAACGAGTTTGCTTTTCAACACTTGAAATTAAGGAAGATTATAGTATTCGGCATTTGAAATTAATGAAGAAACTATTTTGTTTAGAAATGTCGCTAAAATGGAAAAGAAAATTTCAGTATTACAGCCATTAATTCGAGGTAATATATCTCTGGTATTGTTGCCAGTCTGCCTTGTAACAGAACATCAGTGTCAAGACGAGTTATCGTTAATTATTTTAGCGAATTCTTGTAGAATTGTAAGAACATGACTGATGTTTCTTTGTAATCTTTTATCGTTATTTCCATATGGTTATCATTCTAACTATTTTAGTGCAGTCTATTGATCTGGATGTCCGTTACAGAGAATGTCTTCAATAAGATATAGGAGATGCATTGAAAGTTTTACTTTAAGAATCCAGTAAGTTAACCTGGAATATTGTGGCTTATACAGATAGTTCTGATTGTAGAATATAATCCTATATAGTTCATAAACACATATTTCAATCATTTCGAGTCTGCTTAAATTTCAAATTTAATGTTTCTTTTGTCGAGTGAGTAATATGTCTTCTGATATTTAAATTTTTGTTTTATTTCTTCTTTATGAAATACGGGCTTTTCGTAGCAAAAGTTCATTTACAATGACTAACAATTATTTTGTCAGCAAAACTTCCGAAATGAATAGATAAATAATTTCATCTGATGGAAGAAATTAAGTATTTTAAAATTTATACCATTAATTTTTGAAAGCATGTGAAGGAGAATTCAAAAATGAAACTAGCAATGTTCTGAAATTAAAAAAGTATTTATGTGTAATTTCTATTATTGTTATGATCTCTGATTTATTTATTATAACATTTTCTAAACTTATTGGATCCATCATCTTCTTCTGAGAATGCTGTCTTAATTTCTATATTTACGGCTCAATATCTATTTACTTCTTTCAGCTACGGGATCCTTATTTTTGATTGCGTCAAGTCAACGAACTCATTCATTAGATTTCGCTTTGCATAGTTTGAAAATATTCCACACCGCACCTTGCGATGTTCTTATATCCTTCCTGAGGAAGTAGCTCTGTTTAAAAAGCACCGGAAAAACTTCCACTATATTCCATTTCCAGGAAGGAGGACTACAGGAAACCAGGCCGGAGGTCTACTCGTTACAATTATTACCGAGTCAGAACTTCGTTCAATTCTTAGAGATGTTTGACGGATCGGACCATTGCCGTTATGAGCACGATTATGGAGAGCCTCCTCCGGAACCGGTTGACGAACCGGAAAAAGGAACCGTTGATATTTTGGAAGTGTCACAAACTCTGTATGGTATGGAGGACGTAGTGGACAGACGTGAACCAGAAAACTGTGGTGCGGATACTTTGGATGTACAAGTGAAAAGTGAAAGTTCGGAATGGAATACGAGATTGTGTTCTGTAGAATCCGAACTTGAGTCTCCGAATTTACTTCACCCAGAAAGAAGGTGTCAGCCTTTAGAAGAATCAAGAAGTATCAGCAATAGTAAGTAAAATTAAAATTAAATAATATTTAATTTTTTTAATATTATATTTAAGACAAAACTAATTCTTATTTAAAGTTTTTCAAATGGCTTACTTTTATTGATTTCAATTATTAGGAAGACAATCTGTATCTACTAATAAAAATTGTAAATCTTATAAATTATAATATAAAAACACAATGAACTGCAAATACTATTGATAAATAATTTGAAAGCTGTTGCAAAATTTCAGATTTCAAATTAATTAAAAATGCTGTAATAGTTGCTATATTCTTCTATATGCTGTGCTTAACGAATTTAAGTACACAATACAGAGAATGTTTTACTACTGCATATCTTATATTACAAAAGCATTCTCCAGTACTTTTAATCTGCTTGAAACTTTCATAATTTAAATTGTAGGGTACCAGATTATATGAGCTAGCTCTTGTGTAGAGCTTGTGTGAGCTCTAGTTAAAATCAATGATAAGTTTCAAAATTTTCTGTTTCATAGAAATAACATGATTAGCAATTTGAATCTGTAATATATCGGTTTTAATTTTAAGTTATGCCCAAATAGTAGCTACATCTTTGCAGTGGCGTAGCTAGAATTTTGGCCGCCCGGGGTGGTTTTTGAATTTACCTCCTCTCTTGATATGCAAACAAATAACGCACGCCCTTCTTGATATACAAAAATTTATCAAAACGACACGTAGAGAAATAAATTCAAACTCTACGTTTATATATCATGAATAACTCTGATTCCAACGTTTTAAAATTATATTATTGCATAATTATTTTGTCTCCCCCTTTTTGTTGTTCGATGGCATTGTAGAAGTCTGTTTGATTGCCCTTGCTGTTATATAGACAGTAGAGAAAGATTTGTTAAATGCAAAAAATTCATTCGTAGTTCTTAAATACTTCTTAAATAATTTCTATTTAGAAAATGCTTCTTGCAGCTACTAATATAACAACAGTTAAGAGGAAAGTTTGCACTGGTATTACAGTATTCGGAACTTTGGTCTAGATATTATATTTTATAATAAACTGTAAAAATTCAAAAGGACTGTCCTTCCACGTTCTTGTTTCGATTTCCCTAGAGATATCGGAAATAAAAATCTGAAATATTTTTTCCTTTGAAGAATTCTTCCTTATGAATGTCCCCCAGAATCATAATTAAGTTGATATTCATAATTTGCATTCAAATGTTTCGACGGTGTAAAAAAGGCATAACAAAAGTATGTAGCTATTGAAATTCCGTGGTGATTTCTTCGAATACTTTATCTAGAGTAAAAACTCTTTTTTATCATTTTATTAAATATGGCAATTTAGAATTTAATTCTTCGCCTGCCTCGACGAGCCGTCTGCCTAGTAACTATAAAATGATATTTCGAGCAAAGAATGCTGCTCCTAAAAACCTGCCGTCAAAAGTGGAACGCCGTCTTCGTTCCCTCTAGCTTCGCCACGGCGTCTTTATGTGCTTTGTATTTAACGTATTTATACTGATAATATAATAAATTCTAGTTAGTTGGTTGGTTTAATTATGACAAAGCACACTAGGGCTAAGACACAAAAACACCCTTTTCTTCATGAGCACTTTTTTTTTTTTTTTCCAAATTTTAAGTGCAATAGAAAAATTTTGATTTCGATATTATTTAACGTATTAATGAAAATATTTTCTATCTATGTAATATTTAAGTATGGGTAATCAACATTTCACGCTGTTTTGTTAGCTTTCAAAAGTATGTAGATGTATATCATTATTATGTTTTTACGATGATTATTATTAAAGTTAATTAAAGCGTTAAAGACGGTTAAAAGGACAGAAATATTTTTCGAAAGGAAAGAAATAAAACTCGCGAGTCGATCACGAGCTAAATAGTAAAATTTAGTCACATTTTCGTGGTCTAGGTTTTACGATAGTAACATTGTAAAAAATTTCGAGCCTGAGAAATCATAACATTATTTTTTCTTCCCCCGAATAAAGCAAACGAGTTTCATGAACAATTAATTCATACATACATTATGCAATTTTTTTTTTTACTGAAGTTTTCTCAGTCAATTTTTGGCAATGCAATAAACGGAGATCTTTGATTGCAGAAAATTAAGAAAACATGAGCTATTAAAAATTTTTAAATGGATAATTGCTTGTACTATAACGATTCTAGTTTTATACTAAATAATATGTACCTAACGAAAAATCTTTCTAATTATAAAAACTGAAGACTGTATTAAAATCTAAATTCGTTTTTTCGAAATTTAATGATTACTGCAGTGCATTTAATTATTGTATAATAGTCGAAATCTTTCAGAAAACATTAAATACCTTTATAAAAGCAGGTTTATTAATTAAGACACAATAACAGGCTGAACAAATACTAATTCAGAAGTCAAACAACAAAAATCAGCGTTATATTTTCAAATTTTCACTGAGTATGTGAAAACTCATATTATCTGTGATGAAAATTATATATCAGAATTAATGGGTTATATCTATATCTATCAAACTACATTTTTAGACGTGATAGAGAAATTATCATTTGACGTGTACTACTGAACATTTTTATGTTTTAAATTAACAAACGTTTTGATAAATAGTCTGCCTTTCATTAGCCATCCATGGCTGGGTTTAAGAATTTAGTTGTAACAAAGAATCATGTATATTATTCTGTGTTAAAATTCTAATTTATCTTTATCTACGCATAATGAAAGCGCTGTTACTAGAAAGGGTTTTAACTGGTTACTGAAAAATATTAATTAAATTACAAAATAGAAGAACCGTTGTTTACTAATTAAGGATCGAAAATTAAGTACGAATTACAGTGACACTACAGTCTTCCTGTAATTCCGATATATCAGCGTTCATAACGGCTGTTTTCGTGAGCGCAGGCTATGTTTTCTTCGCGTAACTTCTAATGAATGAACTAGTTAGCCAGATGAAAAGTAATGTAGCAAAAATGTCGGAAATGAATTTTTAAAAACAGTATGCTCTGAAAAATTTATTATGTTTGAACTGATTTGTGAAATTTTAATCTTTAATGTTATTTTAAGAGTAATGATGCATTTCTTCCGATTGGTAATTTTAGTGCTTAATACATCGAGTTTTATAAAGATAAAGCTGTATCATATATTCTAAAATTTTTTTATTGTGGGGGGGGGATAGTCTAAACTTATCTTTACTCAGTCAACAAAGGACAGATCTCGCTGTAACCCAGAATGAAAGAGCAAAAAATAGAGTAACAGGATTTGGATTTGTTCTCTTGTATAATTATTCTTTCAAAATTTATTTACGATATTTTAGGAGAGCTATTTTAGTTTTTAGTGCATAAAAGCTTCATGCTATTTAATAGCTAACCACAGAAAATTAAACATGGTCCAGAATCTTGTTTACTTCCTTGCATGAAGGAAGTAAAGGAAATATTGCAATCGTAAAAACTTTCGGTTAACAGATTTGAATGGAAATATCCGTTTTGACTGCTCCTGAATCCATTTTTACTATTCTTTTTTGTGCGATGTACTGACAGAATAAAAGATTCTTTTTCCTAAGACATATTGTAAAATGGATTTAAAATGTATTCAAAAGGGATTTTTTCGTGACCTCTGATGTAAATTTCTAAACCATCAATGTACATCTCTTTTGTAACTAATTAGTTTAACATTGTGTAAGTCTAATTGACCGAAAAAATTGTATTTCACCCTCAGCCCGAATTAAAAAAAAATCATTCGCATTTTTTTTTTTTTTTAAATTCTTATAAAGGGTGAAATACTTCTTTCTTTGAAAAAAATGCAATAGCTTCATATTCATTTAATGGTAAATAGAAATTTCCGGAAAAGAAAAAAAAATATATTTTGCAAATTTTAAAATCTTATTGCTTGATTTTGGTCACAATTTTGGGTTTTCTAGATCTCTCGGCGATAAATCGCTCAGTGGTCGCCGACAAAACCGAAAATTACTCATTTATAATTTTTAACGAAATCTGCCAAATTAACATCCCCTAATTATAGCGAATGCAGTTTCGTACATCCTAAAGCCAGAATAAGAGAAGTAGAATAACATAATTATGAAAACTTAGGTTATTTTCTTCTGCCACAAAAAGTTTCCTCTCTTTATTTTAGTTTGGAGTCGTAAAGAATCACCTGCTTCCTTTGGTTTTACTACTCACATATTAACGAGGTAAAGGAAGATTTTAACTGTTATTTAGGGTTAAAAAGTTGTAGGCCCAGCTTCCTGCTGCTAACATAAAGGATTGTGTAGTTAACGTGATAAATTAATAGTTAAAATAAATAAAGCAGCTAAATAATGCACTATATTTAATTTAAGTTGGATTTTCTTCTGTAAGTCGAATTTTTTCTGTACATGGCATTTACTTTATAAAGTTGGGTATTTTTTAATATTATTTTTTCATTTGAAACGGATGCTGTATAACTAGCATCTTGTATTTGCTATTATTAAGAAAAAACTAAATATATTCACATTTTGCTACCTCGACAACCAACTGCACACAAACATAAGCAAAATTAAATGCATAAGACATTTGTGTATTTACATATTATTCTTGTATATTATTTAAAATACTAAATGTTGTTACATATAAAATGTGCAATTTAACTAAGACTGTTGTCCATAAAAGTTGCTTATGCGACATATTTCAAATCTTTTGAAAATTAAAGCTTTTTCAGCATAGTTTTTATATTATTAATTATAAACTTAGATTGTAAACTCATTAACACGAGCTAAATGTGAAGTAAATAATAATACAGGAAAAAGATCGAAGAAAAATATGATAACAACATTTTCTGTATACTGAGTTTAATGTATGAATGTAGGAAAGATAAGAGAATATACATCTCTGTTTCTTTATCATAAACATGAATTAATAATGTATTTGAAATTAATGTACTGAGACACAAGCGAATTGTTAAATCTAACTTTGCCTATACAATATTTTTTCTCCTACTAGCTTTTTTGGAGCAATTCCAGTGCTTATAATTATCTTACAGTTCATGTCTTCTAATTTAAACTTTAAACCTGTACTAAGAGGACAAAATTTATAGAACTTGGAGTATTTTTTACTATGGTTTTCATCTTATACATTATGGATGATAAAAATTACTGGAAAAATATAAAAAGAAAAGTAGCTTTTTGTACACTAATACTGCATCTGCAAGTCATATTTTCCAATAACCATCATGAGACACTTTTTATGCTGATTACGTTAATGAAATCTATGATAAACAGAAACAAAAATAATTTAAATCCTTTATGTTTTATTATTTCATATGTCTAAGTTAACAGCATATTTGTCTCACATACGTTCCATGCAACATATCTTATAAAACTAAGTTTCTAATTAACTGTTTTTAATTTTCTGTTTCCTCATTCCTATTCTTTATTGCATTTCGGCATCGTCTTTACTTTTAAAATAATCACAGATTTTAATTTTGTACCGTCCGCTAAGCAGGAAAGCACTACGGTGAGCTCAGATTTTTCCTGACCTGTTGTTTTATGTGTACCGGTTTTGTTCCTTTCGCATTAATTGTTTTACTTCCTATCATATCAAACACTTAAATTCTTCCATACTTGCAATATGTGACAGTCAATAATTTTTTTTTACCTTCCTACCAATAACATACTTCTGGAAACTTATCAGGTTGTTTTCCAAACCTTTCGGAAGGCTTTGCGAAACTTTTTTCTCGTTTTTTCTCGTAGAACTTAATTATTCCGTGCCATAAATCTATTGCACCAACTCAAAGTTGTTTTAAAGTTTTATTTTCATTTTTTTGGCCTACTTGAAGGAAAATACGCGTACACTGTTTATTTTTGCAATTAATCCATTCTGACGATTCAGGATGTTTTTCTTCTAGGACAGGCGTTACTCCTTTATGCAAATCAAATTTATTATTTGTCTTATTGTACTGTGTTCTTAATTCTTCTTCCACTCATGTATAGATCTTTCACTAAAACCAAACATCCTTGTTGAAGCACGATTTCCATTTTCATTCGCAAAAAGAGAAAACGTCTGAGTCGTAATGCCGCGAACTCATCCGGCTGAGAAATGTTCTTACCCCAAATTATGTCCCCTTTTCTCGAAAACTTAGAATAACATTCTTGTGCACAACTGCATTGAATACAACGCACTCTTTTCAGAATTATTTACTTCTTCAAGCATTTCTCCCTCACACATATTGTTGCCCTTATCTCTTGTCAATTCAGTATACCATTGTTCGAAAGCCTGAGGAAAACCTACGACTGAATGACTTCAATAGATAACAGCATCGCAAACGTATCTTTCAGGTTTCTTCGTAAAGAAAATATTTAATATTTATGATAGCTCTCTGGATAATTTTATCGAAGTAAGTAGAGTATACTATGGAAGTTAAAAATCCATACTGGTTGCTAAGAATATAATTTATAGAATTGCTGGTATGTTATTGTATCATTCACTGTATTTTATAAGTCTCTACAAGCCATTGATTTATCTTTTACGATTTTTTTCTAAGGTTTTAGAATGTGACGGAATGTTTTTCAATATGAAATGAAAACATAAAGAAAATAGAAGTACGCTTTCATTGCACAAACCCGGAGAGAACGATTTGTCATTTTCAAAATAGAATTGTCTGTTATCACTGTGTTTTTCTCATATTAATACAAGAGTTATTGCGTGACTTTTATTCTGTGTAATTAACAGAAATGACCGAAAAGTACCACTTTGTTCCAAAAATTATATCATCCGAATGTTTTCTTTTTCACTGTGTACTGTCCTAAGGCTAAGTCCTCAAGTTCTACTCATTATTTTTTTAAGTTGGCTCATTAATTTTCTTCCGAATTATGTCCATGAAGTCTTTAATAATGTGAAACTTATATTGGAGTATTTTTATTTTCAGTCGTCAATAAAGGGAAAAAACATAGAATTTGTCATCTCATGAAACAAAGATATATCAGCAACTGATGACAGTGTCATCAACTGATGATGCATTAATTCAGTGGCATTTTTATCACATTTAATAGAAGAAGAGCTTCGTTGCCGAGCAACTATACAGGACTCTGCAACCAACCCAGGTTTTAATTCTTAAGCTAGTTCAAATGTTTCGATATTATGATCATTATGTCAAGAATTAACGTAACTTCAAGCAGTGCCGACTAGTCACAACGAAGTATGTGAAATATTTTTTGAAGGGAGGATGGTGCTCACATGTGAGTGATAGATTAAGCTTAAATGAAAGCGTCGCTATCGAGGAACTTGAAAAGTTTCGATAATTTACTTTCATTTTATAAATTATGGATTATTTACTCCAGACGGAAAAAGGCTGCTCAAATGAAAAAGTAAATTTAGCATTTTTGAGAGAAAAACGCCATAGCTTTGGATGGGTCTCAATGCTCAAAATTGCCCATTCCTAGCTATCAGTGGCTTGAACTTTAATCCTCATACCTTTAGCCAATGCTAACACTCCTGTAATACTTAAAACTTCTGACTGTTAAATAGTGATACTTGAATCGAAGTATACGCGGCGTAGTTGCTGTGGAAATAGTTCTGGCAGGATTTGCTCAGATGCTGTTGGCATGCAGTATGACAAACAACGTCTTTTATTAATCACAGTGCTTTGACATAGCATCCTTACTTCCATTGGCTATGACAGCTGCAATATCTTTCTTCTTCCGCTTGTGCAATAAAAGTATATATTCCAGGCCAAGTTAAGCACTTGAAAAATTTTGATGTCGCCACATATCATCAGTTTTCCCCATTCTTCAAGCTCGATCTTGTTTAACTGCACCATACATTCCATATATACCATATATAAAAGATCTCCTCATAAAAACGGCAACGAGAAATTTTTGTTGTGCCTCCTTTCCTTGATGCATTAAACAAGTGCTTATTTTCCTTAACGGTTAATCCAGCTTTGTATATTGTTAATCTATGGTGCAGTAGTTTTCAACCACTTTGATCCTTGCCCCTTCTCACCATAAGTCAGTAGTGCCATTATTGTGCATTCAAGTTTCTTTTTCAAGTGGTCTGTTCTATCTAACATTTTAAATTGAAAACATTTTAATTTTGGTACGTCGTAATTAACACATTATAAATTTAGGGTTTTATTTCATAAGCATATTTTATTTTTGTTGAATAATATTCAAATTATACTGTGCTTAATAAATATAAATAAAAAAACGTTCCTATTGGTTTCGCTACGCTTGCATGAAACCCGTGTTTTAGTATTTTAATGAGTACTGTGGTTCCAACCAAATCGTAACCGATTTTATCATGAGCTTTTTTCATAATCTATGTCTACCAGTTTTAAAATTAAAGAAAATCCCTTCGTTCGAAAACCATGAAATCCTTTCTTGGAGGGATTTACTAACTTGGAAAAATACTAAACTTACTTTGAGGGATTTAAAGTTAAAAACCTCTGTTCTTCTGCATGTATTTTCGTTTTTTTCCATGTTCTGTATTAATTAAAAATTCTTTTGCAACTTTCATAAAACTTCGCTAATATTTATTAAAAATTTAAAGTTCGCCATTATATAGCAGAGAGACAATTTGGCCTTTTGTTAAAGGATTATATAACCTATGTATCATTTTCTTGAAATAAAATACTCTTTATTCTTGAAAAAGACTATCTATTCTTTATTTTGCTAGCAATTTCCTGTTATTTGATTGAACATAACTTATTATTCTATTAATTAATAATTATTCTTATTATTGTTATTATTATTCTGCAGATTATAGAGACATAGTACAAGAAACAAGACTTCCAGAAGAGCAATCAAACCAAATCTTAAAATATAGCGATTATCCTGAGAGCAGAGGGCTATATGGATCTGTTTTCACCATTCGTGACCCGTACCTTGGATATCCTAATCAGCTTATTCAATATCCAAATGAATTACCCAGCCAAAGTGAATCTCTTGGCAATTTTAATTCATCTAAATTCAATAACAGTCCAACGCACACAGAAATTTATCGCCCTGTGGTCACACCTTTGAGACATTGTGAGAATGGTTTTGGAATCACATATCCAGAAACAAGAAGCCAGACAACATATGGTGAGTACATTAGGTATTTTATTTTGATCTTTGGTTAGGTAATATGTTTTCTATCTGATTGGATATTTTATGTCTTGAAGAGTAATGATCTAATTCATTTAAAACACAGATAATTTTTTAAACTCTTACTTGAAGTTAATGAAAGGTTTTTGTGTTATATAATGATAAATTTCAGATGCTTCTGTCCAGTTCGACAGAAAAGGCTCCTTAAATATTTTTTGTTCATAGAAGCGTTTGTTAAAATTCAATTTCAATAATTATTTGGACGATTTATCTCTACTTAATGCATACTTTTAGTGCTTATCAGGTAGCGCACTTTTTTATAAAAATTTTTAATCCCATCATTGGATACAATGATAATTACCCGATCTTCTTATAACTTATTTGGGTAGATATTGGCAAAGATTCTGGAAAAAAAGAAACACAAAAGTCATATGTGGCGAGCGAAGTTTTTCGAAATCTTTTAATCGTTACTCACTTGGTATTCTATAACTTCACATCCCACAACAAGAAGAGCAATTTCTTTGTACAATTTTTGAACATTGTTTTAGGGTGTAAATCAACCAATCACCGAAGGCTAATAGGATTACCATTTAAAGGGAAACAGTTGCTTTATAGTAGCCGCAGAGACAGAGATTTGGTAATGATAACTGATTGGTTGAAAGAAATATTTTGCGGAAGGAAAAAAATTGGGCGTGTTTCCTTGTGAACAAGTTGGTGCCTGTAATATGTATATGTGAGATAATGCTTTTAAAAGGCATTTTTTAATAACAGTCTGCGTATTCACATACCTTATTCTGCCACAGCCTCTCTGGGCTTGTTTCCTTTACAGAATCAGTATCCAGACTCTAACCCTAAACAAACAAAGAAAACAAAAGAAGACTCACTAAAGAGAGACTTAAAAAATTATTTTAGTTGTTGCAACTACAGTCGAAAGAATCATAATCTCAATAGCCAAACCGGCTTTAGTTTTGCTTAAAAAATTAGTACTAATAAGTAATTATACTAGTTGTGCATTATAATGTATAAAAATCAATAATTGTGTGTATTTGTGTTACCAGTGGTATTCATTTTTCCTTATCATTTTGCTGAAAACTATGATTTGATGCTGAAATAAAAAATTTACTTTTAATATAAATTAGAATTAATAATTTAAAGTTCCAGAATAACTGTTTCATCTGAAATATTCCTTTGCTAAATATGAAAAGGAATTAACAAACGGATCATCATAACCTATTCTAAACATATTCAGCTCAGGTAATAGAACCACTGTTGTGTACAATAGCCACCTTTGCATAAAATCCATTGAAAATTTTAAAGCTTCTTCTTTTATTAATTTTTCGCGCAGAGATTCGTTGTTAGCTAGGTTATTGTGCGGAGTTAGGTTATTTGAGAAGGGAAAGATCATTAAAGCTTCCCTTTGCCTTTTTCTGAGAAGAAAGATATTGCAGAAATAGATTCTAAAACAAAATGCTAAAGAGAAGACAGGCTATAGACTTGAGCAATTTATTTCCAAGAAAATATCTTATTGCACAAATCTGCCATACAATATACAAAAACGCCTTCAAGTACTTCTTTTCAGATTTTAATGAGCTCTCTTTCGCTGTTTAATTGTCTATGTAATTAAAATAATGTCAACATTCTTATTGTCATATTTTACTGTTCAATAAGGTAAGCTTTAGTTTATGAACAGTAGATGTCCTGAAAAGAAAAGGTAGCAGATTTTCATATCTTCTGTGCATTTTGGTAACTATTGTGCTATCTGCAAACATAGAAGCTTAGACATAAACACAAAACACTGCATTCTTTCGTTTTGAAAGTGGACATAAATATTAACTTTACTTTTAAGTTCTTTAGTTAGAGTTAGCTTTATCAGACTTCTATCACTATTTTGTCCTACTTTAATTTCTATATTGATTTAATATTAAGGTTTCACTTTACTGTAATTGGCAATTTATTTCCTTAAATAGAAAGCAAATTAACAAATTTATTGAAACCTGAGAGTTATAAAACTGAAACCACAGTCTCACTGGATAGCTACAACTTACACGGTCTGACGTCGATAATATCATTAGTAGCAAAAGCTTAGATTATTTTAAGAACAAAATTTTCAGAAGAGCGGGCCGATAACTAATAAAATTAACTTTCTCGTCAACTCGGCCCTTCTCTCGGTTCTCAGTAAAGTTTAAATATAATTACCATTTACATGAGCGAGTTTCCTTTGCTTTAGCAGCTATTCACTTACACTCAAAGATTAATATACAAATAGAAAGTATAACGCACCATTTGACTAAAGAGGCAATATCACTACCTATCACTGTACTCTTAACTTCACTTCAGTTTGCGTAAATATGATCTCTGGGTACTTTGGTATTATCGCAACCACCTTGGAAGAAGTCGCCAAACTGTGGCAAATATGCGCATAACAATTCTTTAGGTAACCATATTGTTGCGTGCGTACGGTTCGTTATGAAGTGAATGCACAAGTCCGATGAAAAATGAACAAAAAAATATTATTATCACAAAATGCTTAAATTTCCTTAGATATTCGTACAATATTACAATATCTCACAGTAGTTATCTCTTAACTAATCAAACGTTCAACAGAACTCAATTCAAAACAGCTAGAGAAAGCTAATCCGCGAATTCGCTACAGTCAACAAGAGCAGTTTTCTAAATAAACTCTTAAAACAACAACTAACTAAATAATAACGAATTGAGAGGTTTTCATGCCGCTTATATAAGCTTTTTAAATGCGCTAGAATTTTCTGGTATTTTCTCGAAATCAAAAAGAGATAGTTATTTATTAAATGTTAAATGCACGCGCTCTTGTACTTTTAATTTTCCAGCTTAGCTTTCTTTTAATATTCGTCACGCGCTGCACTGCACGGGGAATAAAACAATTTTATTTATAATTCTACTAACATTAATTAATTAAATACCAAATCCGTAACAATATCGATAATTGTAAGTTTGAATAAGCAACGTCGCTATTTTCTACGCTGTTTTGTTTATATTAGAAGCTCTAAAGGCACGTTCGCATTCGAATCCGTAATTGGTTCGAGAATAGTCATCTGCCATTTTCTGCAGCAGTCAGATTTATATACCGCTGGAGTAAAGAATTAACGAGGGTTAATTTTGGGGTAAAGTGCAGAATCGCCCACTTAGTTGTTTGGCGTTTGTTTGGCGCTTTTACAAGAGTAAGAAGAATGGGATTTTTGTCAATTTTCTATGACTTTTTAAGTGAAAATAGGCCGATATGTACATGGATAAAGGAGTGCGCAATGCCATTTTTGAGCAATTCTGGGATGTTTTTTTAAGTGGAAATAGGTCGATATGTACATGGATACCGAGGATGTGCAATTCTTAAAAACGCGCCAAGCAGTGGGCGATTCTGCACTTTCTCCAAATTTTTCTTAGAAGACTTAGAAATGGACGATAAGATTGTGGTAGACTGGAATAATTAAATGCAGGTTATACCAATTGTAAGTAGTTTTATAAATTGTTTTCCGCGATAAATATCGAACTAAAATTAAAATTTGTACCTAATACTATGTATGATATGAAGTAAGTAACTTTCTTCGACTTGAAACTATTATTCGTTTTCATCTTCCACAAATCGCCAAATTATGCCAAGATAGTTGCGATAATACCAAAGTACCGATTTCTGTTTACATATTTTCGGGCAGCTTTGAGTTAAAAAGAAGTAAAGAGTACAAAAACTTAAAACAAGAACTATTATTATTAAAACTATTAATTATTCTTAAAACCTTACCGTATGTGAATTAGATTGAAAATTGTAGTCAATTCCTGACGGATACAGTCTTAAGTTATTTAATTACGGCAAAGCCTCGAGGGCTATCTGCCTAAGGGAAGGGATGCTTTCGTGGAGGACTTTCTAAGGGAAACTGGCTCGTATGCACGTTACACAGGGGGAAAACCACGAAAACACCCATGCAGCCGGCCCGTTCGCGGGATTCGAACTTCGGACAGAACTACCAGTGTTCAGCGACTTTACCGCTCGGCCGCTGGTGGGCGATACAGTCTTAGAAACATGTGATTTACGAATTTTTGCAATTTACTAATTCCTGATTAAGTAGTTGCATAGTAGAATGTTGGAGAAGCAGAATTTCACATTGCTGCACAGCAGTCCGAAAAATCTCCATTTTGCGTGCATAAACGCAAGTTCTACACACACACACACACACCATTTAAAAAAAAAAAAAAAAAAAAAAAAAAAAAAAAAAAAAAAACTTTTCTGCTGGCACAGCGTTTTACTTTAATGGCTTGTCAGAGTTGAGTCATCTGGTCTCGGCGGGTTTTCAGGTTCTGGAATTGTGGGATTGAGGAGATAAACTGCGTTTCTACATTATGTCCTTTAGTGTTATTACTGGGTCACAATGGAAAACTATATTTATCTCCTTTCATTAACAATGACAATAATATTTTATTATCACTTATAATGGAAAGCAGTTCTCGAGACCATTTGACTGATGTTTCATTTCTGACTTCAGCATTTTGAATGTCCGTTTGGTGCAGACCGTCGACATCTTCCATATTTTCATATAGGACTCTTTATAGCCCTGATGTCTACTTCCACAGTAATCTGAGAAACTGTCTGATTTCTATCACATTCTTTGACTTTAACGCGCACTTTTTCAGTAATTACATCCATACACAACCTGGTCTGAGATCACCTGGTCTTGAATAAATATACTTGGTATCCTAACTTTTAACAGTGGCATAGAAAGGTGTTATAACATCATAGTTTATAATCATATGTTTACGAATATGTGCTGGATTTATGCTCATAATGTTTCCTCAACCACCACACGATATTTGATATTTTCAATATTAACAAACATCACTGAATGTCACTCATCAAAAACGTCCAACGAAAATCTCAAACACCCATTTCATTCTTCAGAATAATCACCATTGCATGTTCCCAACGAGACACAAGCTTGTACCCTTTTTTCAAGAGTGCAAAAATTGTGATA